CAATAAATGGTGCTGGGAGAACTGGATATCCACCTATAAAAGACTGAAATTGGACCTGCACCTTTCTCCACTCACAAAAATTGATTCAAGTTGGATAAAAGACCTAAATCTAAGGCACAAGTTTTAATATTTTTAAAGTTTTTTTTCCTTTCTTACTAAAGCCAATAAAAGTTTCTTCTCAGATAAATATTCATAGAAGCTTTAAGATTAACTGATTTTCTCTAACAGATACTTATATTTGGAGCCAAACAGATCTTAATTGAAATCTCAACCATGCAATCTAAAGCCCATGGAAATTAGACCAGTCTCTTGGTCTCTCTTTCTCAATTCCTCAGCTGCTAACTGAGGAGAGGCAACTTCCCCATGTCACTGAACAGAGGATTAAAGTGAGATACACCATGTGCAGCGTGCAGCATAATGTTGCCTGCACACAGCAAGAACTTAACAATCATAAAGCTCCCTGCTTACTCTTAGTGCCTTGTAAAAATATAAAAGTTATATTTCTAAATTTTTTGGTCAGAGGCAATAATGAACATAAAAACCTCATTTTAGGGTTCCCATGCTCCCTTGCCTTTTGCAAATAGCATCAAGCAAGTTGAGCCATCTTTGGGGCCACATTTGAGTATTTGGGGGCACACTCTTTTGCCCCATCAAACCATTAACTCCGCTGACCTGAAACTCCGATTCCTCTAGACCCAGCCACAAAACAAAAGTTGGTTTTGCTTTTCTCCATAGTCCATGTATGATTATAATGGCCCCCAACTCTCTGTTTCACACCCAAGACCTACTCTGCCAGGGCAAATGAATTTAAAAAGTTTGTTTCTGGGCACAAATTTGTTTTAAAGCCATGAAGATATCCCTCTTTTCTCCTTTATCCCTCACCCTCCTGTCTCTGTCTCTGGGGACAACACTACTTATTGAGCACCCTCTAAGAGCTGGGTTACTACAAGCTCCAGATGGAGGCATTGGGTCTTCAGGCAAGGGATTAATTCTAGAGGTGAAAAATTATAAAAGACTCATCATCATTAGTCATCAGAGAAATGCAAATCAAAACTACTTTGAGATATCATCTAACTCCAGTAAGATTAGCCCATATCACAAAATCCCAAAACCAAAGATGCTGGCATGGATGTGGCGAAAGGGAACACTTCTACACTGCTGGTAGGAATGCAAACTAATACATTCCTTTTGGAAAGATGTTTGGAGAACACTTAGAGATCTAAAAATAGGCCTGCCATTCAATCCTACAATTCCTCTACTAGGTATATATCCAGAAGACCAAAAATCACATTATAACAAAGATTTATGTAACAGAATGTTTACTGCAGCCCAACTCATAATTGCTAAGTCATAAAAGAAGCCCAAGTGCTCATCAACCCATGAATGGATTAATAAATTGTGGTATATGTACACCATAGAGTATTATGCACCCTTAAAGAAAGATAGAGACTTTACCTCCTACATGTTTACATGGATGGAGCTGGAACATATTCTTCTTAGCAAAGGATCTCAAGAATGGAAGAGAAAGTATCCAGTGTACTCAGTTTTACTATGAAAGCTATAACACAATTATAACTCAAGAAAAAGGGGAAAGGGGAAAGAGAGGGGAGGGGAGAGGGGAGGATGGGTAGAGGGAGAGTAATTGGTGGGACCACACCTACAGTGCATCTTACAAGGATACATGCGAAATTTACTAGATGTAAAATATAAATGTCTTAACGCAATAACCAAGAAGATGCCGTGAAGGCTATGTTGACCAGTTTGATGAAAGCATTTCAGATTGTGTGTAAAACCAGCACATTGTACCCCATGATTGCATTAATGTAATGATTTAATTAAAAAATTATAAAACACCCATTAGATTATCCTGCTATGATGAACAATTTAGCTTTGTCTTTTATATTGAAAGTATTAAACTGGCACCATTTCATGTCAGTGTTTGAGCATCTATAGTACTCTGTGGTTCTAATTGAAAGAAAACATACTTGTGACCACTGTGTTTCCAAATCAAAGGTATTTTCTTTACCTCAAACATATTAATAGAATGTGACCGTAAGTGCTGGTTGTGTTGATCAACACTTTGTCCCAGAAAAGATCACAGTGGCAGAGACCAGCAGGCTAGCAGGTGGTGGGGTCTTGGCATGTGTTCTGCCAGAGGCGGGTTTCAGTGGGCCACTGATGGAAGGAAGCAGTGTGAATATGAAGGGTTGATAACAGCCCGGCAAACTGCAAGCCCTGGAAGGAGATGAGAGGGCTCCAGAACTGCGCTGTGTACAGTGAAGAAATCAAGACACTAGAAAGCAGCAGAAGAGGCCCCAGGCTCTGAGTTAATGAGAGTCAGACCTGTGACAGATGCAGACCTTACCCAGGCTGTTTAAGCCAAAGACACTTGTGACATGTTTGGATCGCTGACCCCAGTTAACAGAGAGTCCCAGTGAAGTTAAACAAAGTAAGTTTTGTTTCTTCTGGCTATCACTTAGTGTATCCCACCAGCAACACCTGAGTGGGACCGACAGCCCCACAGCAGTATGTATAACTCACAAATCCTCCTCAGGGGGGAGACAAGGCATCATCTTTTATTGCAGTTTAGGCTGGGGGTGGGGGCACATGTCCCATCTCTCACATATGCTGCTGTAGTCCCCTTGCTGCTCTGTGAGAAGAGTCTGGTATGGTGGTCACAAGACAAACCCTGCTCTACCTCTGTCCAGAATAGTGCTGGACAGTGACCTCTCCAGGATGGCTCCTCAGTGTCAGGCAGGAATGACTGCAGCACCCGCCTCTCGAAGCTGTGGGGTCAAATGAGTTAATACATCTGAGCGCTCATGCCAGCACCTAGTGCATGAGAAGCTTCTGTAAATGTCACAGATCAGTCACTGCGCCTTCCACTGTAGATGGGGCCACTCCCACACAAAGTCCAGGTTGGCAGCAGTCCTTGAATTCATAGCAGCAGTGGTTGACTGGTGACTTGTAAAGGGGAATCCCTTGGATACATTACACTTCCATCCAAATCTGGGACTCTCCTGTGGATTTAATCAAATTGGCATCCACAGATGAGCACAGCATAGGGACTGAAACTGAGCTTCACAACTACCTCTTTCGGGGAAGTGTCAGAATCTCTTTCAATATCTCTCATTTTTTCTCTATCAAGTTTACAATACAATGCATTTGAAATTGAAAATTACTACTGCTCTGGTCACATTTAATGTCCTAGTGTCTGTCAGACAATACATAAAGCTGGCAACCCAGGAGAGTTGATGGGGGAGTCCCAGACTGGAAGCTGGCAGACCTGATGTTTCAGTTCTCATCTCAAGGCAGGAGATAAATCAGTGTTTTGTCTCAGGCAGGCAGGAGGAGCTTCCCTTGCCTTCTTGAGGGAGGTCTGGCCTTCTTGTTCTTTAGGCCCAGAACTGACCCACCCATATGGGGAAGGTGACCTGCTCTACCCCACCCACCAATTCAAATGCTATGTATCCTAAACATCCTCACAAACTCACTCAGAACAAGTTTTAACCAAACATCTGGGCACCCCAAAGCTCAGTGAAGTTCAGGATTGAAACTGGCCATCACAGGCCCACCCTCCCCTCAGAGGTTCTCCAGTTTGTGTGGACACAGGAGTGGTTGCTACCTGCACACAGACCTCCCAGGGCCTGACCGTGTAGAATAAAGGCTATTAATCATGCCATTTTGCCCAAGTCTGAGGAGTTCCTGGGCTACAGGACTTTCTGTTTAAAAACTTGCAGAGATTTCTCAAACAGGGACAAACTTTCCACCTGAGGTAGAACCCTATCAGCAGCTACCCTCTGTCAACACATGATGCATACCCTGATCACCTACATACCCAACTCATGAACTTCCCCCCTTATACTTCACCTCTGACTCCCAGCCCTTATAAGGAAATTAGCTCCACCCCTAGAAAAACCGTAGCATAAGACAATGCTGAGTTCCCTGGGAACTTGGAATCAAAGGCTATGCTCACAGATTTGTACTCCTCAACCATGCGTTCTCCTCACAACCTGATGCTGGCTTCTTTCACACTCCACCTCCAGAGGGGTAGACTAGGAGGAATCTTGGTCATGTATTTTAAACCACCACAATGGCAAAAGCAAAAAATCCCATCTTTTTCAGACAACTGCCTGTGTCCAGCCACCAATACCACCATGTGGAAATGGATTCCATAAAAAGTCCATATAGTCTCGCCAGGAGCAGATTCTCGGAGTGGCTAAACCACAATTTAATTGGGTCAAGTGGATGCTTCTGCCACTTCAATTCAACCCCAACCTAGAGGCACCTTGAAAAATAATTAGAAGTCTCCAGAAATCCCACTCCTCTTGAGGCAGATGTGGTACCATATATTGTACATTCATCTATGGGATTCATGCAGCAACACCTTTGCCACTATCCCACAAGCTATCGGGTCAGGCAGTGACCCAGGAAGATAAGCAATGAAACAGAGAGGATGCGAACACCTCACCATCCCTGGCCTCCAAATCCTTTCCTGTCTTTACACATGCTTTTCATTTCTTTTACTTATTTCTTTATTCAAAGACACACTTGTGTTCATCCTAATCTATCATAAAGTCAAGTGCATTCATAAGAAGGATGGGAGAGAAAGTGAAAGGGGAGAGAATAATCTTTATTACCATCTTTAGGCTCAAAATTCTACTAAAGTGTTTCTCATAAGGTGGTTCAGAAGAGGACCTATTAAATTGTTATAGTTAAATTTAGTTGAATTATAGGTGACCACCCAAGGGACTGTAAAAAACTGGTCAACACAGAGGTGGTCAACATAGGAACTAAGCCTACTGTACTGATGCGTACATGGGGCATATGTCCAGTCTATGAACATTAGGTCAAGTTAAGGAGGTGGTCAGCTGTGTAGGTTCTAGGGTATTACACTACTGTACCTTATGGAAGGATTAGAGATTTTATAAAGCTAATCTGTCTCATTGTTTATTTTGTTGCCTATTTAACAATTGACATTTCTATATATTCTCTTTCAGGTAACTGAGTGATTTTAGCTTAGATCTTCAGCAAGTGTGGCAAAAAAGGAAAGATCCTGAACAATCAGTCACATTTTCTGTGAAGTCAACTCCAAGTAACGTTCCTGTCTTAACCACAAACCAGAGAAATGAAGCACATTATCAATCCATACGAAAACATCAACAACACAGCAAGAAATAATTCAGACTGTCCTCCTGTAGTTTTGCCTGAAGAGATATTTTTCACAATATCCATTGTTGGTGTTTTAGAAAATCTGATTGTCCTTCTGGCTGTGTTCAAGAATAAGAATTTGCAGTCACCCATGTACTTTTTCATTTGCAGTTTAGCCATTTCTGATATGTTGGGCAGCCTGTATAAGATCTTGGAAAATATCCTGATCATGTTCAGAAACTTGGGTTATCTCAAGCCTCGTGGCAAATTTGTAACCACAGCTGATGACATCATTGACTGCTTGTTCATCCTCTCTCTGCTTGGCTCCATCTTCAGTTTGTCTGTGATTGCTGCTGACCGCTATATCACCATCTTCCATGCTCTGCAGTACCATAGCATCGTGACCATGCGCCGCAGCGTCATCATCCTGACGGTCATCTGGACCTTCTGCACGGGAAGCGGCATCACCATGGTGATCTTCTCCCATCACGTCCCCACAGTGATCACCTTCACATCGCTGTTCCCTCTGATGCTGGTCTTTACCCTGTGCCTCTACATGCATATGTTCCTGCTTGCCCGATCCCATGCCAGGAAGATTCCCACCCTCCCAAGAGCCAACATGAAAGGGGCCATCACGCTGACCATCCTGCTTGGGGTCTTCATCTTCTGTTGGGCCCCCTTTGTCCTTCACATCCTCTTAATGACATTCTGCCCAAAAAACCCCTACTGTGCTTGCTACATGTCTCTCTTCCAGGTGAATGGCATGTTGATCATGTGTAATGCAGTCATTGACCCCTTTATATATGCCTTCCGGAGCCCAGAGCTCAGGGACGCATTCAAGAAGATGTTCTTCTGCAATAGGTACCAGTAGAATCATTGATCCCTGATTTTTAGAATCCATATTGATAATATTGTCAAAGGAGTGAATAATGGAACATTCCAACAAATACTAACATTTGTGACTGTCCTTTCCTTCCCACAAGCTAGTGTTTATAGTGCTTGGTTTTATGGGAACAGTCATGTTGTAGGAACAACTTTTATAACTTTATCACCAGATAGATAAGCTGATGTACTAAAAAAAAAAGGATAAAATACAAAGTATAAACACAAAGGCTCTTGGCTAAGGCAAAATCTGTTCTTCTATAGTTATCTAGCAAGGCTACTCTGGGGTAGCCTTTCCAGGCTGAAGGCCACTGCAACCAATTTCTAGAAGTTAAAGCGCCTGGGCAAGTGACCCATCACAGATGCTGGAAGGTCTGAACTTGCCTGTCTTCTGCAGCCACACAGCCTCCCACCCTCCCTCCTGCTCCCTGGCCTGCCTGATGTGGGATAAGCCAACTGCAAGCTTTTTGGAAGCAGGAAGATTATGAACTACAGATGTTAGATAAACCAGGGTTGAGTTTCCAATAAACCAACCTTCTCAGTTAGTCTTCTTTGCTCTGTCAGCATCCCTTTTGCCTTAAAATCCTTCCCTGTTAAATCTCTTCCTTCTTTAAGAGCATGAATTTTAAAGAAGGAAATAAAAAATTAATCCATTTTGTTCATATGTGAAAGCACACAAAGGCTAGAAGAAAACTGTGACTCTGAAAAAGGTATAACCAAACTGTGTATGTTTGACCAGATGTAGAAATAAAGGAAAAACAACTCTAGTATGTATTTTGTGGAATGAGTAGAATGAGAATGTGTGTGTGTTCATGTGCATAACACGTGTGCATGTATGTGTGTGTGCTCCACATACTTGGACTACGAGGAAAACCAAAACCAAAACAACACTTCAAGCAATGGTGCTAGCAATATAGACCCCCACCAAAGCATGATGAAAGTTCTACCTGCTTCCTCAGATGAGACCAGAAGGCAAATCCAGTCACTGAAAGATTTCATCCTACCATCAGCCACAGAAAAGATGGCAGATAGTGGCACCTCCAGTAGGAACAAAAGAAACATAATTTGTAAGTTCATCTGTTTTTAATAGCTAAAGATTAAAGAATAAGCAAGTTCCTGCTCATCTGGAGAGTGACATGAAGAGGTGAGTGATGCAGGGACAGAGGAGGGCAGCACAGGCTTCAGGCACACAAAGCCTGACCAGGTGTGGGATCCACACCTGGAGGGACATTGTCCTCTGGAAGAGCCAACACTTTGCCCTTCAGAGAGTTCCCACATGCTACTGAGAGGAGAAGACAGCCACACACAGGCATGATCATTGGTGATGGGTGTGATATTAGAACAAGGAAAGACAAGAACTTCTCAGGAGCAGAGGAGAAAGCTTTGTGTTAAGGGAGGACATCACGGGCATGTGTCCATGGCCTGTGTCATAGACTGAGGTGAAACCCAGTACATTTTCTTGTCCTCTTCTGGAGAAATCCCTCCCTGTTTGGCCCCTTCCCCACTATTTATTCTAACATTAACCTGGATTTATCAATACATAAAATATATATGTTTTGTTTGTTAAAATACCATATATAAGTTTATTTTCCAAGAACTCTAAAGCAAAACCCTATAAATAATTTTAAAAGTATCATTTCTCATTGAAAAGTAACATGTAGGACATTTTCCCTTAAACTGAGTATTCCCAATAAAATGTAACCTTTCTGTGTAATTGTGCTGCTGTGTGATAGTGAGGTAGAGGCACCATTAACCTCCACCATAAAGGGTCCCAAACCCTCTGCCTAAAGAATTCTGCCTTTATTGACAGCTTTGCCATCTCCTCATCACTCTCAATCACTCTGCTATCACATCTGACTATTATCAAAGGAAAATAATCTAGAAATTCTTTCACCTCTCACAAAAAAAATAAGTTAAGAAGGCTAGTCTAATAGTGCATTAAGAAAAAAATAAACAATTTTTTAATTTCCTCTAAATCCTGAGTACAAATTCAGACACATTTTCAATTCTAGGTCCTCAGCTATATTCAAATCAGAGTAGGACTTCTAGTGTCCACAGATGCTGGGAAAATAATGGTTTTCTACCCCTAACTTCATATGTACATGTCTTTCAAAATGAAAACAGTATCAAATTGAAAATATTTGTGCCAGGAAGATCAATAGGTTATTTTATCAAATTCTCTTTTCCCCCGATTACAATTCTCTTATCAAATTATTAAATTTTTAACCTACTGTGTGGATACCATACATTTGTATTCAATTTGCAGATGTTCCAGCATCAGCCCAGACAGCTGAAGATATAAGATAAAGGATGACTGGCTCTCAGCTCTATAATGTCCTCTTAGTGTGAGAGTCCCCCCGATTCTGAGCCCTCTCAAATAAAAGGAAAGGACATTTCATCTTCCTGCCCATTTCCCATCTAGTCATCCACAGACAAGAGAGGTCCGGCGAACACTTGCTGCCCGTGCAGTCACACGTTCCTTGAGCAGAGACAAGAAAGGGCTGAGACAGTCAAGGAGCACCCCGGGGCATCCAATCAAGACCCGCTGAGAGGCATGGACAAGTCAATAAATGAATTCTGAAAATTTTCAGAGCAGATGTTTGCTGAGCTGTGGCAAGATATCTAATAGTAATAATATTAGTGACAATAGCAACCATAATGGTAGCTATTATGAAGGTAGAACCTTGTAGAACAGGTGCTACAAGCCAGGTCTGATTCTAAGGGCTTTGCCTGCATTAATCCCCACAAGGACCCTAAGGGTAGTTCTACTTCCATCCTCTTGTTTTTAGATGAATAACCTGAGGTTCAAAGGTATTTACAGCTTCTACTAGCAGACAGGGGAAGGTGCCTTTGTGATTCTAGCCTCCTGGTGTTCACATCTGTGTAACGCCTGCCCCTGGGTTGTGGGCGGGACCATGACTTGCTTCTAACTATGGGCTGCAGAAAATGTGATGGGCTGTCACTCTCATGATTATAGTACATTACCTACAAACTTGCCTTGCTAGAAAACCTGCTAGACAGACTGTTTGCTGGTTTGATGAAATAAGCAGACATGCTGGAGGCCCAATGAAAGGTATAGACAAATGGTGCCTAGAGACGAGGCCACAGAAGAGATGTTCAGGCCAGGTTTATTGAGAAGGGAGGGTGACTCACCTGGGCAGTGCAAAGATGGCATCTGTGCCCAGGGGCAGCTAGAGACCCCTTTTACATGGAGCCATACGGGGGAGGGCGAATTCTACAACTGGCCCAGGAGGGTTGGCTAGCCATATCCTTCATATCTTTGTCTTAGGAGGAGAAGGGAAGCAGGGGGAGAAGAAAGGGTACGTATGTGGCTGCGTTAGGACAACCAACCCCCAAATCTGGCAAGAAACTGTACAGGGACCTGCAGAGACTGAGGCAGGTGGTCTCTACTTTCTGTTAAGAACCTGAACCTCTCAGTCATGCAGACACTAAGCCTAGGTGAGAACACAGTCCAGGCTTCACCTTGATTTTAACCCTGTGAGACCTGAGCAGAAGAGGTAGCCATGTCCAGGATTATGGCTCATGAAATTGTGAGATAAGAAGTGTATGCTGTTTCAAGCCAAAAATAATATTTCATTTTATATGGAATCAAAAAAAACTTCAAATAGCCAAGACAGAAATAAGAACAAATCAGGGGTATCATGTTACCAGACTTCAGGCTATACTATAAATCTATAGTGATCAAAACAGCATGGTACTGGCACAAAAATAGAGAGGTAGCTGTATGGAACAGAATAGAGAACCAAGAGATAAACCCAGCCACTATATTCATTTGATCTTTGATAAGCCTATAAAAAACATAAATAGGGGAAAGATTCCCTATTTAACAAATGGTGCAGGATGAATTGGCTGGCGACTTGTAAATGATTGAAACTGGACCCACACCTTTCATCATTAACAAAAATTGGTTCTCACAGGATAAAAGATTTAAACTTAAGACATGGAACTACGAAGATACTTGGAGAGAGTGCAGGAGAAACACTTGAAGAAATTGGCCTGGGAGAATATTTTATGAGGAAGACCCCCTGGGCAATTGAAGCAACACCAAAAATACACTACTGGGATCTGATCAAACTAAAAACCTTCTGCACAGTCAAGCATACAATAAGTAAAGCAAGCAGACAGCCCTCAGAATGGGAGAAGATATTTGCAGGTTATGTTTCTAACAAAGGTTGGATAGCCTGAATCCACAGGGAACTCAAACTAATTAATAGGAAAAACACAAGTGATACCATTTCATTGTGGGCAAGAGACCTGAACAGAAACTTCTCTGAAGAAGACAGGCTCATGGCCTAAGACACATGAAAAAATGCCCATCATCTTTAATCATCAGAGAAATGCAAATCAAAACCACTTTGAGATATCATCTAACTCCAGTAAGAGTAGCCCACATAAAAAAATCCCAAAGCTACAGATGTTGGCATGGATGTGGAGAAAAGGGAACACTTCTGCACTGCTGGGGGGACTGCAAGCTAATATGTTCCTTTTGGAAAGAAATTTGGAGACTACTTAGGGAACTAAAAGTAGATCTGCCATTTGATCCTGCAATTCGTCTTCTGGTATATATCCAGAAGACCAAAATTCATTTTACAACAGAGATATTTGCACCAGAATGTATATTGCAGCCCAATTCATAATTGCCAAGTCATGGAAGAAGCCCAAGTGCCCATCAACCCATGAATGGATTAATAAACTGTGGTATATATACCATGGAATATTATGCAGCCATAAAAAAAGATGGAGACTTTACCTCTTTTATGCTTACATGGATGGAGCTGGAACATATTCTTCTTTGTGAAGTATCTCAAGAATGAAAGAAAAAGTATCCCATGTACTCACTACTATTGTGAAACCAATATATAATCACCCACACTTTCATACGAAAGAGAAAACACAACTATAGCCCAAGATGAAGGAGAGAAGAGGGTGAGGGGAGGAGGGAGGCTAGGTGGAGGGAGAGTAATCGGG